ATACTGTAAACAGTTATTTGTGAAAAGGAGAAAGAATTTTTTGAGTTTGAAATCCAAGGCATTTCTATCAAATCGAAGCTGTGGCATTTACCTATTGATGAAACCTAACCTAAACCTATTGAAACAGTCTGTAGGTATTAGTTAATAAATAAATAAATAAATAAACCTGCACGAAAAGTCACGTACCTGTGAATGAACCAACGAACGTGAGTCGTCGAGCAAACAATGAAATATTGTTATCGGGGAGTCAAGGATGCTTATCGGCCTGTGGAAAAGAAGGCGGGGGAGCATCAATCATAGATGAGCGTTAATCACAGATGAACAAGTATCGTGCAACGCGTGCGTGCGGCCAATCTAGCGTGAACTGCTCGTCCAACATCGCATTAGGATTTCGGTTACTTTGGACGCGTCGTTACACACGGTTACATCCCTTTCGAATTAAAGATTCGCCTCTTCTTTTATTTCGTTCATCCTCGATGCCAAGCGGTTTTGGTTGCAACTCTTCAGTTAAATCAGATTCATGGCAGGTGGCTAAAATAATTAGAAATTTTATGAAGATAATCACGCTATTGAATAGAGACAGATAACTCTGATTTATTTAAGTTGTTTAAATAAATCAGTGTACGGAAGCGAAGAATGTAATAGAGAATATATATATATATATACAGGGTGTCTCAGTATCGATGGCACAAGTGAGAGGAGGGTGATTCTGTATGAAAGAGTGAAAAAGTTAAAAGATTTATCGAGCATAACTGGACTTTGACTAATTCTAAACTGAGGGACAAAGTTCGAAGCTTCAAAGGAAACAAATTTTGTAGTATGTTTTTGTTGAAAATTACCCTGTTACTTGAATAAATTTTCAAACTCTAAATCTTGTATGAAACAATTTTACTCCTCATTTTCAACCTATTTTTTTCATCATTGAATCACTGCCTCTCTGGTTGTACCATCGACACCCTGTATAAGGATATAATTGAACTTATTGTACGCATAATACAAATGTACATATATGTTTACCAGAGATACAGATGTAGAGCTGAAGCAAGTCTGGCTGCAGGAAGCGGGTAGAAAGTTGCAACTGATATACGAGGGTGGCACGCTGACCGACTGCGTGGACGAGAAACTCGACGTCGATGACGAGAGATCGTGCACGTCGAGCACGCACTTGGACGATGACTACGATGACGAAACGTCCGTCGAGCTGTTCGACGTGGACGACCAGGAGGACACGTCGAGAATCCCGCAGAACCTCTCCTGGCTCTCGTCCACATTCGACCTTCGTCACCGATGCGCTCACCTGAGGAACAGGGCGCGAAATCAACTGATCTCGCAGCATCGACGGAGGTATGAAACCTGCAGTGGAAAACAAACGATAGAACTAACGGTAAAGAATCGAAGAAGATCTTGCTTTACACTGCCATGGAACAATATAAGAAAGGCTTTTATATTAGTATATATAAAAATACTTTTATATAATAGTACATAAAGATATAATAGTATATATAATAGTATATACTATTAATATTATAAATTTATAAATTACTATTAATATTATATTATTATACTAATTATTATATTATTATACTATTAATATTATAAATTTATAAATAATATAATAAAGTATAATAGTACTATATATAATAGTAATAGTACTATATATAAAAGTATATAATAGTGTATAAAAGTACTTTTATATATACTAATATATAGTATATAATAGTATATCAAAGTACTTTTATATAATAGTATGTAGTATTATTATATAATAGTATATAAAGGTATAATAATACTATATATAAATAGTATAATAAAGTAAAATAGTACTATATGTAATAGTAATAGTACTATATATAAAAGTATATAATATACTTTTATATAATATATAATATATAATATACTTTTATATAATATATAATATATAATATACTTTTATATAACATAATATATAATATACTTTTATATAATAGTATATAAAAGTATAATATGCTTTTACATAATAATATATAAAAATATATAATAGTGTATAAAAATACTTTTATATATATTAATATATAGTATATCTAGTATATAAAAGTACTTTTATATAATAGTATATAATAGTATAATAGTTATACTGTATATAAATAGTATAATAAAGTATAATAGTACTATATATAATAATAGTAAAAGTATAATAGTACTATATATAATAGTAATAATACTATATATAACAGTATAATATACTTTTATATAATAGTATATAAACATATAGTATACTTTTGTATACTATTATATAGTATACTTTTATATAATATAATATATAGTACTATTATACTTTTATATACTATTAGATAATAGTATATAAAAGTATAATACAAATTATTGCTTAAAGAGTTATGTTGTTCTTAAGAAGAACGCCTTAAGATTGTAAAAGAAGAGATATCATGGTCTAATTGCCAATGAAAGAAGTTTGAAAAAAGTGCAAGAATAAATAAAAAAGAGAAAAATGGATCTCACATTAGGCGAGTTGACCGTGTAACAGAAGCAATACAGTTTTCACTTCTTCCTCGACGCAGGAAATACTCGAAGCTTCTGAACGAAACGAACGGCAGTCACCGCCAGAGACGAGGTAAGAGCCGCTCGCGGAGGGACTTGTTGATGATCCCGGGGACACAATGGTGCGGCCGCGGTCATCGAGCCACGAAATACACGAACCTAGGTGGTTTTGGCACGGCTGACGCATGCTGTCGCAGACACGACACAGCCTGCCCTTTCTTCATCCCGGCCTTCGAGACGCGCTACGGTCTTTTCAACTGGGGTATTTCGAGCATGATGCATTGTGCCTGCGACGAACGGTATCGAACATCGATTGCAATACAGTTTGCCTTGCAAACTGGTCGAAATTCTGGACAATTAACAACGGGCTCTCTAGGCTGACTAGCATCAATGCAAATTTCATAAACCACGTTATGAGTTGTGAGTTACTTGCATTGATAGATACTGACATGAGAAAGAATTCGAGATTCAACACACCGGATTTTCCATCGGTGCGAGATACTTTTATTACAGTAGGTTTTTAAAATCTTCGTCGTACATATATAAAATCTTGATAAATAACGAGACAGAATTCTGACCAGTTTCAGCGAAACAATACTGTATCGACTCGAAGAATAAATCTGCCTCTAATTCGTCGGATTATACTTTCTTTTTTTTTTTACAGATTTCGCACGTGTTTGAAAATGGCTGGCACAGCGTCTGCGAATTTCATCGGGAAGATCTTCTTCGACGTTCTGAGAACGAAATGTTTCATATTGAAACCGCAGAAGGTTTGTACGAAGTGGTCCTGGATGGGCAAGTGCCAGCACCACGAGTACCAAAAGCAGGCTCACGTCCGGGAAAACGTTCCTTACCATTAAGCGTACACAGCCTTGTAAAGAGAGCTAGACGAATGTTCTATTCGGCATAGATATTCTTTTTCTAGAGACGTCAATAACCAATTCTCAGGGATGTAATAGATATCGAGAGGCGGCAGATCGAAGATAAGAAAAACAACAGCCGTCTTATGTCCACGAATGACAATACGTAGTGGTCATTGTAGTATGTGTAATCGTACACAAATAGAACAGATTTTTGGGCAAATTTTGTATCACGTTTCGCGTTCCATCCAAATATCCTTTGTAACGTCGATCTGAAACATATTTGAAACATATCAGCTAAAACAGATTTATTTCAATTACATAAAGATTTAAATACAAAGCA